CTATAAAGAACCTTTGTAGGTGGTTTTTTTTTATTTCTTAATATAGAAATAAAAATTTTTAATAATAAGGAACATTTAAATTATGTCCTCACAAATAATTTAGGAACCTATCTTTACTTTAGACAAAGGTGTTTGCTTATGGTGGACTCAAGATTCTTATGGAGCTTGAGAAATGCATTCACTAGTGGTTTACTTTTTAGAGTTTCAGACTTTTGAAAAAAATAGTAGAGGATATTTTTCTATAGATTTCTTCTTCCTAGTAAGGTGTTCTTGCCATAAATCAAATAGGTAAAGTTTTGTTTATTTTATTATTGAAATATCCAAAGTTTTTTGAAAAGGAAGAGTAAATAAGTGGGGGAAGACACCTGCCTTTAGAAAGTGATGTTTTTAAGAAAAGTGTATAGACTTTATTATTAAAAATAAAAATTATTTTTGAGAATATCTGTTTTTTGGGTTGGTAAGGGGATCAATAGAAAGAATCATATATACAATTATGAAATTTTTAATTTTTTTATGTTTTCATAAAATATAAAAGGTTTGTTCGTATTAACTCAATTTATGAATTATAATAAAAGTATCAATTTATATTTAAACAAGTTCAATTTTTTCACATATTTGATTAATTTTTCAAATAATATTATATATCATAAATTGATTTTTATTTGATAGTTTAAATCAATTAATTTAACAGATTTGAGATTTTATTTTGACTTAAAAAAATAAAACAAATATTGAATTATGAAATATTAAATTTTACCTAATTAAATATAAATATATAATTCCTATTTATAATATTTTTTGTTGATTTATTTCATTTATATATAAAATATCAAATTAATATAATTCTTTAAATATTTAGCTATAATTTTAAATATAATATTTAAAAACATTAAAATTTGATTATAATTAAATATAAAATAATTTGTATCTAAATTTGATTTTTTTATAATTATTATAATTAATTTATAAGTATAAATATATTAAAAAATTGATAAATATTAGTAAATTAAATAAAAATAAATATTATTTTATTATTTGACATATATTGAATTATTATCAAGTAATATTATGTCAAATGATTATATATCTGAATATTTGATAAGTAGTAATATGTTAAATGGTATTATTTTAACTAGTAATATTATTATTATCAAACAATAATAAATAAAATATTTAAATAATAATTATATTACTATTACTATTATTATTATCAATTAACAATTATGTTTAATTAATTATCAAGAAAATATACTATTGTTATTATATACTTTAAAATATAATCTGTTTATTTTAATAAATACATTTGTATTTCAAAAAAGTGAAACTATTAAAATAGTACATTTAGATATTAATAGTATTCTAGATATTATTGATTTATAATTAATTCTTTTAATATTTTTTTTTGTTTAATATTTTTTTTTTAAGTTTTATTACATATAATTTTAAATAGATATTTATAATTGTTTGATATTATTTTTGATATACTATATATTGATTTAATATTTATTTTTCTTTACTGTTTAATAGTTTATCATAGGCAAGCTAACATTAAACTTGTTGGTTATTTGGTTATATAAAAGATATTGTTACTTTCTTTATATATAAAATTTCATATTTTTATAAATAATAGTGTAATGATATTTCAAATAAGTGGTATATAATTCTTAATATAATGATCATAAAATAAAGTGATGATATTTATCTACTTAAAAAAAATTTTTTTTACTGAATAATACTAATCAAAATCCTATTTATGGGTTTAAAAAATTTTTTTTTCTATTTATAGTATAGCATCAAATAATTATGATCTAGTAAAAACACGTGACAAATTTGATGGATCAAACTTGTCGTGTTTGAACGCATCTCATTATCTTATTATAATGTCTTTCTATCCCTTTGGCGGCGGCGGCGGTTCACAACAAACAATAAATCAACAAAATGTTGCGTTGGCTGAACAAGAGCTAGAAATGATTACTGACACATTTTATCGGTGATTATTTACCTGAGTATGGTTGTAATAATATCAATGTCACGTTAGATTTACTTTTTTTTTTTATTTCTAATAGGATTGTAAATTCATGTTACCAAAAATGCATTCCACCGAAATATCTCGAAGGCGAACTGAACAAAGGGGAATCCGTTTGCATTGATCGTTGTGTTTCAAAATTTTTTGAAGTCAATCAAAAAATTGGCGAAGCACTCCAAAAGAAGGGACAACAAACTGTCGGTGGTGCCGCGGGATTTCAATAATTCTAATAACGGTTTTGATTGGCCGACTTATTTTAATGTGATAGATGGAACCAAAATTATATTGTTCTTCAAATCTTTATTCATATATTTATAGTCCAAAGTAGAAAGAATTGTTAAATCATAAACCTAAATTGACCAAATATATATAGATAGATATATTTTATCAATTGAGAACAACCGACAGCATATCTCCGTCTTCCAAATCAGTGTCCTCTAATCTGTCCGTGACCGACAGCGTTTCATCCTCTAATAACAGTCTCATTTTTTCATTTGCCGGTATGTTTTTAATTTTTTTATATCGGTCGATGACCGCCTGCACTGTTAAACTCTATTGGTCACGAAGAGAAGTCGAAAAGTTAATTATAATCGTGTGAAATAAAAGCTATCGTTAATAAAAAAAAAAAAATTATTGATCTTTTGTACCTTTTTTACTTTTAATTTTTCAACCGATTCATCCTCACTACGCAACTTCAGGTGAATATAATCTTCTTCATTTACATAATTGATATCAGACGCGTCCGAATTGTCATTGATTCTACCCTCTTCCGAAAAATCCGAACTCTTATCTAAATCTTCCAGCAAGCGTTGTTTGTTCAGGGCTTCTCGTTCTCTGATATAAATAAAAGTATCCCTCGTATATGCCTCTAAACAATTTTTTTAAAATAAATGAATAGAATTCATAAAGATGATCAAAATAATTTGTTCGCGTACCCATAACAACTTGACCAATCATTCCCAAAGATTCCGGCGTGCTACGGGGAAACACTTTAACTTTTTTATACGTCAATACCAAGTCTTGCTTCCATATTCCTTTCTTTTCACACAACCATTTTATCATTTGTTCAAAATTATCATCCTATAGTAATCAGGAAGAAATTTACAATGCTTGTGAGAAATGAAAGCTCCATTCAACCTCAACCTACCCATCTTATACTCACTGTCTTGATGATAAATTTGATTGGTTTCTCGTAATCGGCCATAGCCTTTCTATTTGCGTCGTTGATTTCAATTTCTGGGTGACGTATTGGTGTTACCTTAATTTCAACTTTAGCGTTGACGCTCCGACTTGATATTACACTATTTTGTTTAATCGATTGTTGAATAGCCAACAGTTCGGGATCCAGTTCGGTGTTATCTTGCGTTTCGTAAGATATGCCTGGAGAGCCAATTTCATTACCATCTGATCTCAGTTTTTCCGAGTATTGCATAAGCGTAGCGCTATTCAGTTCACTCGTTGTCAATATCTATCTCTTCCTATTTAAGGGTTCAAAGTAGAAAAAAGCTTACCGTATCATACCGACCGTGGACTGAATCTGATGCTCATTTAATTCTGGCGGAGGGGTCAAAGAAGGCTCTCGATCAAGATCTGGGATGTCATGGTTTTTTTTACCTTTGTTACTCTTCCTCCTATCCATTTCATCTGAGAAATCACTAATCGTAGAAATTATAAGCTACTTAATGAAATGACTTAAAACATTCTAAATCAAGGAACTTACGAAAGGTCTTCGTGTTCGCTGAAATCACCTAAACTAATTGGATCATCTGATAATGTCCAATCCCACCGTTTTGCTTTTCCTTTTCCTTTGGAATTCCGAGGTCGTTTAGTACTAATTTCGTCGTTGGATTGTAAATTATCATTTTCATGAGTATTATCTTCCAGTTCCTTGAGAATCTTCACATTCTCTATGAGACATTTACGAATGAATAATATCATCTGAGCAAATTAGATAGGTTGTCTAACAAAAGATACAAACTTTCAGTTTTTGTGTCGATTTTTCGAGGAAAGTTCGAATTTCGCGTAAAGAAATTATCGTCGTCGTCGTACATTTTTGAAACGTTTTTTGATCTCTGTGAACTCCCCAGTGACTCTACGTTTTCCAACACACGCTTGGATTGTGATACGGAAGCAGTGGAGGATTCACCGGATACGTTGTGACGCGGTTTGATTTTTACCGTTCGTGGCTTTATTTTAACGGCCTGGCGCTTGGTAATAATTTCACCTTCGGATGACGACATGCTGTAGAGAAGACCTAATACTCGGATAACTAGATTCGGTCGATTTTTGTATCTGTTAAAAGTGCGCACGTACGTAAATCTATTTTGGTTGATCAAAGTTTCACAGGTTTGCTTATGTGGTATCAATGATTCTTTTCGGGAAATGATTGGTTGGTTCTCTTAAATGACTCCGCGTTCATTTCTCTTGACAACTTTTATATTAAATCAATCTTCTTTTCGATAAATAGTTTCACAATACTTTTCGCTCCTTTCTAGATCAGCATGTTTGGTTACTTGCTGTACAAAGCTGTCTGGTAAGATGCTGTGTTCACTTAATTTTTTAGACTGGTCGTAGTTTGTGGGCTCACAATTTTCACGAACCCAGCAACTTTGCAGGTTTTTTATACCCCGCATATGCTTCCTTTAAAGCCATTAAAGTGAATGATACAAAAAGCATAACGCCATGGCTAATGTATTGGACTGTTATGGCCTTGTTCTCGATCGGAGAAGGAATAGTGGATAAAGTTGCATTCTGGTGAGGACGAACATTCCTTATCAATTTTTATCTTACTGTCCTAATTTAACGTAATTTGTGCTCACTTTTTATCAACAGGCTACCCTTTTATTACGAGTTTAAAATGCTTTTCATACTATGGTTGATTATGCCACAAACTCAGGCAAGAAATTTGATCATGTTTTATGAGAATGTGACTTTCCACGATATCACATTTTAAACCTAATCTAATCACAGGGAGCTACCCGTCTTTATCGCTCTTTGGTTGATCCCACCTTAACTCGTCACGAACAAGATATAGATATGGCCTTAGGAAATGCACAGGAGCGAGCAACAAACAAAGGCGCTGAGTGGGGTCGGAAAGGGCTTGCTACATTACAACGAGCGGCTGTTGATGGACTTATGAAAGTTAGAAACTTTTTCATCTAAATTAACTCAACAGCATATATTTATCTTAATAATAACATATCGTCAATTCTCAGGGACAAAACATACTAAGTGATCAGATGGGTTTAACTTCATCAGAATCTTCGGGATCCGCGTCAAACACGCAAGAACGAGTTCCGTCAAATACCACCTCTGATAGTTCAAGCGATAATCAGCCTCAGGAACAATCATTACTATACAATACGCTTTCATACGCGTTGTCGAGAATTATACCGTCTTCCATAGGATCAACTCATCCAGAAGGGTCACCTCAAGAAGAACATCAAAGAGATATTCAAGAAAGGTCTGGAAGGTCGGATGCATCATCAAGTAACACTAGGAGAAGGTCAAAAAAAGCTAGCACTAATAATAATTCACGTAGAAGCGTGACATTTTACCAAGAAGAGGATATTAATGGAAGAGTAAACGACCTATCAAACAACGCAGATAACTTGACTGATGAAGAATTTAGAAGGCGTCAAACTCAGGCACTAGGCTTAACAAGTTACTTAACCGGATATATCTCCAAAGCTGCTGCTTTATGAGGTTGATGTTAGAGAGAACAAAGACGATTAGTGGTGATTCTTTTACCGCCAAAATTTGGCATACATTGTATTATTATTATTTTTTTTTTTCAAATTATTACAATCATTTGTTAGAAATATTACAAGTTTTGGTAGAAAGAGATTCAAATTGTGTATGCTGTTCTTAAGAATGTACAACTAGATTACATTTTAATTATCTGTACTCCTTAGTTAATTGAGCCAAAATAATTATACATCTTTCGATAATAAATCATTTTCGAGCATGGGTTCGGGTGAACTGTCTAAATAGCTTGTGTGACGTTACGCACAGAAAGTGAATCGTGGACATCTAATCTACTCCTAGATTTATGAGTTAATGCTATATCATGTCCGAAACCGTTGCATTACCAAACTCTACGGAAGTCAACTCTTGTCCTGTAAATCATTCCGTGTGGACCCACTTCGTTGCTTCTGAAACTTCTAAGAATGAGTCCAATAATGCTGACTCGTGCGAATGTCCTCACGTAAACCGCCAAATACCTTCTACCTCGGAGAAGGGGTGCACAAGCGACGCGATAAATGAATCAAATAACATGCCGCTACTTCCAAATCAAAAACCCTCCGCGGACCAACGTTTTCCGCTTGATACGTCACGTCAATTATCAAATATTCCGCGTGCGACTCCGAAAGTTGATAAAAATTCGGCGAATAAAACTGAAGAAGAAGTTTGGATATATCCATCAGAACAAATGTTTTTTAACGCAATGAAACGTAAGAATTGGAAGCCTCGGGAGGAGGACATGCGTGTAGTTGTACCAATACACAATGCCGTTAATGAAAAAGCCTGGAAAGAGATATTGGAATGGGAGAAACTTCATGTGCAGTAAGTTTCCGACCTCAACTATAAAGCGTTCGATCAAGGATTTAAAAATTTACCGTAGCACTATGATTAACCTTCAAGTATTTCAAAAGACACTGTGGAGAACCTAAATTAGTGAAGTTTCAAGGTAGAGCAAATGATATCACGCCAAAAGCAAGATTATTAAATCTACTAGGGTAAGTCCATTATTAAGGAGATCTAAGTGATTTATTTGTTTAGCTGAGTCTTGATAAAGATCGTTCTTTTCTTTTTCTTCATTTCGCCTTGTTACTCTCAAAAAAGATATAAGCTACCATTTGACAGACATGACTGGGTAATTGATAGATGTGGCAAGAGAGTTACATATGTAATTGATTTCTATGCTGGCCAACCTAATCCTGAATTTCCACAGAATGTGAGCTTTTACTTGGATGTTCGTCCAGCCCTAACGCTTGAGGGTGTTCTGGATAGATTTCGAAGATTTCTACGTTCTATAATTGAGTGATATACATACGACTGATTTTCAAGCGGGCACGTTTTTATCATAAATTAAGCAGAAATCATAATGAAAATTGATCCTTGTTAGAAATAACTACAAAAAAACAAAGCTGGAGTATGTCTTCGACCGAATTTAATTCAGCGAACTGAGTTGGGATCAGGTTTTCCTTTTTAGGATTGACTTAAAATGTATACGCATGAATAAGAATAATCATTTAGTCAAACAATTGTATTTAGATGGTTATAAAAGTTATATCACCTCACGAAGTAGATGTTGATATGAATGGGTCAAATAAATACACAAAAGATTTATTTTACTTTATTTTATTTTTTTTTAACACCAGATGCATCACTTCGTGGTTTCAGAGTTTATTAAATTTTACTTTTGAAATATTGTAATACTCAATAGTGGTTTGTTTCTTTTTCAAATAAGGAAATTAACGTGTTTAGGTCTATATTTAAAGATTGTTATACAGTATTAACTAGATGCAATAATTTTAGATTGCAAAGACTTCAGACTTGCATTAGAATTAAAATTTTCTAAAGAAAATAATTATAAAGAAAAAAAATATAAGAAAAAAAAAGAAATATACTGTATTATTATTATATTAAATTTGAATTCAATTATTAAACATAAAATATTGAATTATTATTATTATTATAATATTAATTGATTATACAGTGTGATTCATAATCTTTTGAAATTAATTTTACTATTATAATTTTATCAAAAATTATTTAAATATTATAAAAATTTGAAATAATATTCTTGAAAATCTATAGTAGTTTAAAATTATTTAAAACTGGTTTCAAATTTTTCTTTTATTTTATTCTTAAATTTTTTTTATATTTAATATAAGTTTACAAATATTGATAAAACAAATTTGTCAAAGTTATATTTATATTTATATATAAAAATATAATTTGAAAATTATTTTTTTTAGTAAAAAACATAATAATTTAAAAATTTTATTTATTTATTTATTTTTTTATAGATAAATGTACAATGATACAAATTTTTATTAATTGAAATATATCAAGTGTTTTTTTATAATTGAAACAATTATATTTATGTCAATTGTATCTGATAATAGTTCTAATTATAAACTAATATTGCCTAATATCTGTTACAGTAATAATTTATCATCTATCTTTAAATCTAACTATAAGAATTATATACTAATAATAAATTTAATATATCAGATAGAATTTCTATATAGGAAAGAAATCCTATTACTAGTTTAAATCACCTAACTTATATAAATCCATTTACTAAGAGCTATATTTATCCTGTAAGGGTTGATAAGATTTTTGAATATTTTGATACTTTTTGTTTAAATCTTTGAAGAAGATACTTGCTTCTTGTTACTACCTATGGTTCAGTAGATCTTTTTTTAAAGATCGACTTCTTTTAAACACATATTAGATTGGAATAGCTTCAAACTAAAAAATCCTAAAAGAGTTAAGACAAGGCTTATTAGGTATAATATATATAAAATAATCTATATAACCTATAAATAAAGAAACTTTATGACAATTATTGTAGTACTAACTGAACAATCGTTATACTATGACATCTTAATAAGAAGATTACAATCTTAATATCTACTGGATTAGCATATGAAATAGCTTTTTATAAGAAACAGCATATAACTAATTATAGTATCAGATACTATATTAATTCTATTCAATCACCTTTATATAAAATTAAACTGGTATCTTGTGATCTGACTTGCAAAACACTAACCATTGTATTATAGATTAATAGGTCTTAAATTATTTTTATTTATTATATAATAAAAATTACTTGTTTTATATAAAATTTTATAAATCACTTGTTTAAAATTTAAAAAAATAATATACCTAAACTTTTCTTATAAAATATCTTAATAAAATATTTTAAAATTATTTTATAAAAAAAAAATTTTTTCCCATAATCAATTTTTGCTAAAAAATTTCTTTTATAGTAATAGCCTTTAAAAACAAACTTTTTTTTTTCCTTAAATATCTCCAAATACATTTTAACTCTCACCACTCCTATTATAAGCCTTCAATATTCTCAACAAACAATAAACAATTTTTTTATGCCACTATTCATAGCAACTAAAACAGAAAATTTCAAATTTATTTTCTCAACCTAAAAATAAATACAATTCAAAAAAACAGATTTTTACAAATCCATTACTATCATTAATCTTATTAACTACTCCAAATAATTCTTAGTTATCAAAAATAGAAAAAATATAGAAGAAATTCTCAATATTAGCATTATTAAGAATATTGTATTATAAAATTTAAAAATTTCACAAATAGAAAAAATGATATTCAAATGATCAAAATTATATCCAAAATTCAAAAACAAACAAATTCAACTTTAATCTTATTAGTAATATAGTTAATGAAATGAAAAAAGTACAACTTAATCAATATCTTTACAAATGTTTTTAAGATTTTCTTCTCTTTTCTAATGAAAAAACAAAAAATACTTTGCAGTTTACTCCTGAAAATAATTAATTATCAATCATTTTTTTTATTACTCAAAAAAGAAAGAACAATCAATTAAGTCCAACAATATCTTATGCAATTCAATTGTTTATAATATCAATTATTTTTTAATTTGATAACTTCTCTGATAATAAAACAATCAATAATGTATCAATAAAATTGTTTGATCTAAATCCTATTAACCTTAAACAAACCAATCAAACAAATGTAAATTTAACTTTTTCCCTTAACAATTCTATATTAATCTTCAACTTCAGTATAGAAATAAGTAAAATATAACTTATTAATCAATTTAATCTAATAATAATTAATAACATTATTGACTTAAACTAACTTGTCAAATCTTCTATTCAAATTAAAACTATTTCTTATATTTGATCATCCTCTTTCGAATAACAAATTCAAGAAGAACTTTAAGAAATTAGAGATATTAAACAATATAAAACACTTAAAGCAGATATTGAAAAATTAATTAATAACTTTTTTCTAGTTTCAAATAATATTCAAACCATTATTCAAATATTTAATACTATTATTAACCTTTTCAAATATCCACCATATCATCTTAAAGCAATTATAAATAAAATCAATTTCAAAAACAACATATTCTTTAACTCTTTTATTTAAAATAAAAATCTAATGCCAGCCTATCAAAAATAAAAACAATCTAAGTTTTATCAACTTTGAAACCAAAAAGAAAATCTATATTATAATTTATATTATCCTATTAATCATCTATTTACAGTATATATAATCAATATCAAAAATACTTTTTACTATAAATTAACTAGTTTCCTTATTTATCTAATTAATTATTTTATTAAAAACCAAATTATTTTATTAAATATATCTTTCTTAAAAATGAATTCAAAAAATATTTCATCAATTCTTTTCCTACTCTACCATCTGAATCATCTGAAATTCCCTCCCAAATTAAAGTAAAACTTTCTATCAAACTTTCAATATTAGATAAAATACATATCATCACAATCTTATGTGTTCTTAGTGCTCATTACAAATTCGAAAAACTACTTGACTTATATTTCAAGAAAAACCTCCTTTTCCTAAAAATTCAAATGATCTTTTAATCAAATATAAAGATATTTTTCCAATTAAAAAAAGAAGTAATTTTAATAATTTTTCAAATTATAAAAATTATTTTAAAAAAGAATACAAAGTTTTCTTCAAATTACCAATCACTTATTTTAATTTTCTGCCTTCAAAAAAATCACTTTCAACAACTCATCAACTAATAAATCTCAAATATAAACACCTATTTCCATTTAATTCAAGAGATAGTACCTATACTCTTCAAGAAATTATTATCTTACTCAAAAAAACTTAATATTTTAAATTTCTTTTCAACAATTATCTCTTTATAAGAACAAAGCTTCCTTTCTCTTCTGACAAAATTATACTTGAAACCAATATCTTACTTCCAGTAACAAATCCTAATAACATATCTGTTCTTCTCAAAACACTTACAAAAAAATATATTTTTACTAGTTCTCTATTCAAGGAATGGATCAATCTTTCTTCAATTCAAAACAAATTTGACAAATTAAATAACAATAAACAAACAATTACATCAAACAAATTTTCACTTTCAATTGAATATCAAAAGGTAAATGAAAAAGCAGAAATCAATTTTCAAATCATTAGAAAAATTAATATTTGCTCAAATAAAAGCTCTATTAATTTTATTAATTCTTAAGAATTTTTAACAAATGGATTCAAATATTCACTAAATCTTCTTTTTCCAATTTCAAAAAATTTCTTGAAAACAATCATATTGAAATAGAACTTTTTATTATAAATAATGTCAACTTTATTTCAAAAATCTATAAATTAAGAGAATATTTTAGTTTTTAAAAACTATCAAATAAAATATATCATATAAATTGAACTTCTAAACTTTCAATTAAATTTTTTAAATTCTTCTAATAATAAATACAAATCTAATTAAAAACTTTTTAATAATAAAAAATCTTTCAAAAATCTTTTCAACATAAAACAAATTCACTTTATTT